GGCGGAAGGCTTCGTTTGGAATCTTCGCGCAGTTCGGCCGTCGCATTCGACACATCGCTGGTTGTGCAGCAATTCCTCGCCGAGAAAAGCATTCCCGTCATCACCCAACCACCATACTCTCCGGATCTCACTCCAAGTGACTTCTGGCTGTTCCCTACTCTGAAAGTGGGCCTCAAGGGGATGCGTTTCGCAACCATGGAGAACATCAAATCAGATGTGACGGCAGAACTGCGGAAGATTCCAAACGAAGCCTTCCGCCGGTGCTTCCAACAATGGCAGGATCAATGGAGAAAGTGTGTGTGCGCGCAAGGGTACTACTTTGAAGGTGATTAGGTAAGCATTGCCACATGTCCTACCATTACCGTACTATACCACAATTCCGGGAACTTTTTGACTGCCCCTCGTACATCACAGTCACTGGACATGGGATACATACTGATTCATTGCTCTGCTGCCAATCATACTGTGTTTGATTACAACTCTAGGAACTGGAGCTGGAGCCATCATTACTTTCTCTTTTTCCATATCTTCATCTGAAAATTTAGTAGCACAGATTTGTTAAAAATATAAAGTAACGACAGAAGATAACACACACTTTTAGTAATAAAGAAAACCTCAAATTGTTCACCTTTTGGAGAAACTAGGCTAACAGTATAAGAACTTATAGCTGTGTAGATAATAACACAATAAAATACTGTTCTATAAAGAAAAATATATACAGTTAAATCCTCCAGTATAAAGTGACCTCTCATATTGTTTGCATTCATGGCCATTATAAAACTGCACGTTTAGTGTTAAGGTTACATGAAAACTTTGCTTAAGGTATCAAATATTTATTTTAAATTATTAAATTATAGAAGAATTAAAAATGTCACAGCTTTACCACTCTAAACCTAACAAAATATAAAAGTACATGGTTCTTAACTATAAGAATACATAATCTAATGTAGAAACTTGCCATCTGAAACTTCAATTTCTTTATTCTGGTCTTGCTTTCTCTTCTTAAACCATGTGTTCTTATATGCATCCAATTTCTTCCCCTTGTATTTCACCTAAAATGGAAATGACATATCACAAACAGTTTCATTCTATTTAACTTCTATGGTGGGCTTGAAAAAATATGCAAATTTTTACTTGATACCTTACTATTTTATTACAGTTTATTATTAGTTTTTGACGTAAATACGTCTATATTTTAGGGTCAGTGTCATTCGGCAAAAATGTGTTACGAAAAAGGGAAACGAAAAAGTGTAACTTCATTGTTATGTTACCTAGGAAACGTCATCTGTTTATCAGTAAATAAACAACAATGGTTACCTACATACTTACCTTACCTTACATTACATTACATTTCATTCAGCTACCACAGACCCATCTTAAGCATAACTAATTCAAGTTAAATAAGCAATGTCTTAATCAAACTTTACTCAATTGTAAAGCATGTATGACGTATTTACGTCAAATTCTCCGGAACCATGGTTCCACTGACAACTTTTAACCTTTAAACATGAGGGAAAGAAAAATATTTTACACACAGGTTTTGGAAAATCTGTGAAATTAGGTTTTCACATGAAAATACAATGTTAGAATTTAAATCTTAAAAAAACCTATAATATGCTCATCTATCTCAACACATCCATTTAAACCATTTTTATTGCTCTTAATCCTACCACTCAATGCGTGACATAAGAGAACATAGTTGGTGTTACTAACTGGCCTAGGAGGTACCTAAGTAATGCTCACAACTTCAAATCTCAACAGTGGTGGTGTACAGAGGTCACTGTACCTAGATGTACAGTGTGTCCCATAATTATCTTTACAACTTTAACACCCCGTTCACCCGACATAACCCCTCTGGACTTTTTTTATGGGGCTATGTTATGTTAAGGATATTGTGTACTGAACAGAGATTCGGAATTTGGAAGACCTGAGACGAAGGATTACTGCAGCCATGGCAACAATTGATGCAGGGACGCTAGAGCGAACATGGCAAGAAATCGAATTTCGTCTTGACATGCTACGTGCAACTAATGCTGTGCACATAGAGGTGTATTAAAGTAAGAAAAAAACTTTGAGAGTTACTCTTTCATATGCAAAAAAACGCATTGTGATATCTCATCTCATTATTTGGTTATTAGTGTTAAAGTTGTAAAGATAATTATGGGACATGTTGTACATGTGTCGCTTATGGCATAAAATGACTTTGAAAGCACAACGTTTCATGGCTCAACAGGATCTCTTGTGACTAGCCTGTATGGAACAGTCAGAAAGGCAGGGTAGCAGAGAGGCAAAGAAAAATTGATGGAGACTACAGTCAAGAGAAAAATGTGAAGGGGGGAGGGGGCAGATGTTATTAAAGCTGTGTACTGCCATGGGAGTCTATGTAGTAACTCTACAGATTCTTTGAAGGTTTGTGCATTTGTTTCAATCTTCAGTTCACTATACAGTATTACAAAACGGGACCTACAGATGCCCAGCCACAACCAGATTTTTTTTCTGGGTTGATAATCCTCTTGCAGTGAATAGCCCATGCACTTGGAGATGCAAATACAATGTCTGTTTCTTGTGATTTTATTTTGCCATCAGGAAGCAAGTCTCCTATAAACCTCTGACCCTGAAACAAGAAATGAAAATGACAAGGCATGAAATATCACTGTACTAACATGATAAAAAAGTGTGCAACACGAACAACAGCTAAGTGGCAGAGATGGTTCACTGAAGAGTTTCACTTTCACTGGGAAGCAACAGAAAATCTGAAACAAAACTGGAACTAAGCAACCAATAAAAGACGAGACAGAAGAACATGAAAATAAAAACACAACACCCCATTTGCTGGAAGTAAGATAGTGCTCCAAGAGAAAGAACTGCAAAGATTGAAAGCAACTAGCTACAGTCACAGAGAGTGAGAAGCTCACCAGGTACTCGATGGCCATCGTTCCCTCACCGGGCTCTAGAATGCCCGCTGCAAGCAACATCTGCAGTGTGACTGTGCGCCCACTGGGGCCTGAGCCTGTACGACTCCGACGCTCCCCACTTTCCTCACAGTCCTAAGGAAACCAAAGCTTTTATAAAAGAAAAGAAACATGCCACCAAAAGGAAATTTAAGCATTCATCCACAAAAAGATTCAAGTTATGATAAGAATCCACCAATGCCATATACCGCAGAAGCTGTATAATTATTATAAAGCAGAAGGATGATGTACAGAAGCGTCAGCACAAATAGGATCGCCCCTAATCCTGCCTGAAGCTTCACCCCATTAATTATAACATAGAAAATTTCCACATCCTAGAATTTCTCCTCATAATTACCATTCATAGTACTAGCTTGTTCAGATAGGATTAGTGTTTTATAGGTAAGAAGTTTTGCATTATATGAATTCAGTGACAGGTTTGAGGTTAAGAACATACCAGTATGTTACACTTGGTTCTTCCTTCAAAATAATATGTAACTTATATTTATGCTAAAATGGGCTAGGGTGGAGGCCTTCTCACTCATGCTAATGCCTGTGTACTTTGTTTGAAAGGACAGGTTGTGCTTCTGTTACAAGTCTCATGAAGACAGTGACTTAAGATGAAATAGATGATCAGGAGGAAGCAGATGTTCTTAGCCCTGAGCTATCCATAAAAGCACTGTTATAAAACTGAGAAATTAAATAATTAGAAAGGCATTAGGAAAGATCAAATTTCTTGTCATTTAATGCAAGTCTAAGGACTATAATGAAAATAATTCTAACAAACCTTTGCAGTATCACCTTACATGATTATCCAAGAAAGGACTGTGAAGCTGAAAATTATTTTAATTTGTTCTATGAAGTTTACAGTGTAAAAAGAAACATGATAAACACAAAAAGTAAATATGACAATTATAAAATTTTGCATGAAGTATTTTTTTGTTTTGTTTCTTGTATTCAATACTGCCAGCATGGAAACAACACAATTCTATATTATTTTATAACTATATGTATAACTTTTCACAAATCTTAACTAAATCACTCTATTTCAATGTACGCAAGAAATTAAAAGGGCTAGAACATATATAACATTCTTACTTTACACTCATGTATAATATTTACGTTTGAATCCAAGACAGCAGTGTGGTGCATGTGAGCGCAATTATTTTATTTGCCAAATATAACAATGAAATCCAACATAATTAACATATTAACCCATATTATATAGCACAGAAACAAGAGATAGTGCAGACTGTGGTCGTCTGGGTTCTGGCACTAAGTAATCTTGTAGGTGGTTGCCAGTGTTTCAGAGGGCAGATGCAGTATGTTCCTCTGAAATGTTGGTAACTACTTACAAGACTTTACAGTGTCATAACTCCGAAGACCACAATCCACATTTTCACTAACATTAAAATGTCAAATCTCACAAAAATACAGTTTAATAGTGCACAATTTGCAACATATAATTCTTACCAGTTCAAAACAAGTTAAATATATAACTTTCCATGTCACAGAGAAAATCCTATATATCAACATATATAAAGCTCCATAAATGTAATAATAATCAAGGTGTGGTTCCATTTTGTCCCACAAACTAAAATACTACCATAGGTGGCGTAATCACTTGTGATAACAACATAGAGGGAGTATGTATAATTCCAGATTTTGATATAGACTGCATCAGAGTTTGTTTCGGCAAACATTGCAGTTGTCATCTTCTTAGGCTATTCCTGAAAGCCAACACTATACATGTGACTCCAGCTGCAAACATCTAAGGACAGGGGGCAGTTACACCAGGAAACAGCCTTTCCATTAATTTGTGACCACTACATCAGTTGCCTCAAGTCAGAAGCAATGGTAAAAGGAAGTCATATTATGAGTATCATTTCCACAGTGCTGTTCAAGATTCCCTTTGTGCTGGACATAGATAAGTTTACACTAGAGCATCAAGTGTTTTTACATCAATGTTGCATGAAGTGTGACCCCACTAAGAAGAGTCAAAGGAAATTCAAAAGAAAGTTTCCTGAGATTCAAGTTCCCAACAAAAACATTGTTCAGAACCTTGTCAATAAAGTAAGAACTGACATGAACAAAAACATCAATGTTAAGCATTAACAGAGGAAGATTTCAAAGTAATCAAAGCTTGGCTTGAAAAGTCACCTGATAAGTCTCTTAGACACAAACACAGGTAAAGCACAAGAAACAAGAGTATCCAAAGCACCATGATTACTATAAAGTGAAGCTTTCGCGGCAACTGAAGTTGATGCTCTCGAAACGGTGGCAGAAGATATGGTTTATTCACCGTTCAGCCACCTGACGCGGCTTGTAACCCGAGAGCCTTTCATCAACCATGAGAACTGTTACAAAATTACTGAAACTACAGCCTTACAGAACAGCAGTTGTAAACTAACTGCAGCCATGTAATTCAGTAGCCTGACTTTTGCATCTGGCATCTTCAGTCAGTGGGGATATTTAAATGCGGAGTCTAGCAAAACAATACAGACAGACAGACACACACACACACACACAATAATTCAGAGAAATCATTCACGTGTTAAATCCCATACATACAAA